TACTCCTTCTATCCAAGACGACTCATCCCAACATCTAGCAACCCTCCAAGACGACTCTTCCGCGTCACAGGTGTTTGGAACGATACATTTACTTATACCCGAAACCCCAAACACATCCAACAAAAACACCCGAACCCCCCGCCCCGAGTCCAACTAACTCATTTTCACTGGAACCTTCTAGGGATCCCAGTCGTACCTTCTCAGAAGGTAGACCTTGCTGGCACCTACATAGTGTCGAACACATCACCTACATCATATGTGGATCCCTCTAGGGACCTCACACCAGCCTCCCAAAGCCTCGGAGTCGTCGGAGTCATCGTGTTCAGAGTCGCTCGTGGTCTCATCGAGTTCGGAGGTCCGGCATCGGAGGGCCCGGGAGAGGAAGAGTTGGGCGAAGCATCCTCGGTTTCGAGTCATTGTTTCAGGCCCAGTGAGTGTCAAATCCGATGTCGAAGTCGAAATCCGGGAGCGATTCGCCATGAATCGAATGAGTCCGCCAGGTGTCATGCAGGTGTCATGCAGGTGTCCTATCCTTCGCAAACTTTGTTGGACACTCGCGTGGTGTATTCACCTCCAATGAAATCAAATTGATTTCCACGGATTGTTGATTCATGCTCTGATGTTCACAGCGGGAGAGGAAATCAAAGTCTGTTCTGCAAAGCCAAGCATCTGCCGCAAGGGAGCTTCAAAGTACCGCGAATGCCCGCACAAGCAAAGAACAACACCAGAAGAAAGGACAAATGGTACATAAACACAAATGAACTATACAAGGCAGGGATTTCCAGGAAGAAAAGAAACATAATCGGACCCATTGTCTTTGACAGCACGTTGAGCATGAAGCATCGTTCGTCAATGGAACGGGCCAAAAGGAGAATCAAGAAGCAAAGCCTAGTAAGTATTGATAATGCTTGCATGAAAGCAAAGGACCAGTTGATTTGAGACCAGCGGATGTCAGCAATTTCATCATCAATGCATGGAAGAAGGTGCCAGAAACTCAGCAGCAAAAGAGGCCCAAGCACAAGTGCAGGGACTGCCACCTGAACAACCCCTGCATGCTCAAGCTCAACTCCTTGCAAATGTGCATCTCGAAGTGCATCCGACGTCAGTCCAGCCTTCAACAGAACTTGAATTACTTTGTCCACTTCATCAACTTGGTCACCGATTTCATGTCGAATGTTTAACTCATCTTTACTGTCTGAACATGACGCTCGGCGCACGGATCCTTGAAAGTTGTTTTGTAGTTCCTCTGCTTGTTGCATTTCAGTCTGCCAGTTGACCCGGTCCAGCTCAGACAGTAGGAAATATACAAGGATGCAAGCTCTTGCAAATCTATAGTTTGCAGCTTGTCTGGCTGTGATTTGGGGATTGAGCGGCAAGAGTTCATGGTGTGCACATGCGATTACAGCGGCTGCGCTCGTGGCGAGCCCCACATGGTTTGCGATCAAGCAAAGCCTGATCTGACCAGAGTTTTGACTCACAGGGATTGCCAAAAACGCCAACATTCTCATCATCACAATCAAGTGCAAAACGCTTTTAAACTCCTCGGATAATCTGCCAACCATGATGCCTGCCAGTAGTGCAGGAAACATCCTGAGCCAAGCAAACAACACTTCTCGCCAAATGGGAGGCGTAGCCGTCCGAATAATCTTGTTGCTTTGAAAGGCCAAGTAGGCTTCATATCCACACCACAGCCTCGTGTAAACACTATTGTGTCTGTTCGGAACCACAAGCATGTACTTTGCATTCTGCAAGGCAAGTGCAAAGGGAGATGATGACGGAGACTGAAGTAAAGCACCAATATTTAAATTCTGTGGAATAGCAAGCATGCAGCACCATGCGTGATGTGCACGCCAAGGCCAAGAAGTCAGCACCTTTTCAGTAAACTCAAAACAATCTTCCTGCCAGGCATGAGTAATGAACAAATCACAGTCGAGCCCTTCAGGATTCATCATTAACGCCCAGCTCATTTTCCCAGCAGCAGCTGTGACTGGCTTGATGTAGTTCTCATTCACAGCATAAATGCTTGGCCCACGCGAATCCTTGAAGTTCTCCTGAAATGTTCCCTCTTGGATAGCTCTCCGGACTCTGACTGGAAGAACTGGAGATCAGCGAAGGTGACGCACCACCTGAGGGGATTCTGAGGGGGCGCAGTGTCCAGGTACCTGAGTGTCTACACCTGGGAAGCCTGTGGGAAGAACTTCCGCACTTCCGCTGCTTCTTCAGTTCGCGACCGACGAAGGGCCATCTTCTGGTTGGTTCCGTAATTTTGTTGGTTGGGCCTGTCACAAGGCAAAACAAATACTCCAACAATGATTTTTGCCCCTGGAAAGAACAAAGGGGGTCGATGACAGGTATCATATTTCATCGTATACCAAATGTAAGCGCCAGGAGGGTTTGAGAGGCGGCAAAGGATCGCTATGTACCCTAAGAATCATTGGCCCCAACACCTTCGCAGGGGTCCAGACCCGACCCCAAACCCTATATGTGTTGGTTCGGGCCCTGATTCTGATGGGCAGAAAGCAGGTCTACGGCAACCCTTCGCCGGTCTACCCCACAACCGCCTCGACTCAGTTGGTGAGTGAATCTTAAAGGGTGCGGTGGATGTTGATCCCTTAAACCTCCTTATATAGACCTCTAAGAAAGGATATCCAAAAGGTCACCAAGGTCACCGAGGCTCACATTCACATCAGCTGAGCACATTTGGGTCACCAGTCGGTCACCTGTTGGAAGAACCGGTCACGCTTCCAGCCCGCGCCGGTCACGGCTTCGCCGCTTCGCCGCGACCTCGCCCGACCTCAAGGGCTTCACCGTGCCATGCAATTCCACGGCACCCGCGGTGGACGTCCGATGTAGGATCGGTGGACGAGCCATGGCGGCGAGCGCGGAGAAGATCAGAGGTGAGAGAGTGAACTAGGCCGAGTGAGATGTGCGCGGCTTTTGGGTGAGAACAACATGGAATAATAGCTATACCCGGACTCCCAAGGCCCCAGGGGTGGTTAATGGACACGAATCACAGCTTTTTGGGGCTATTGACATAGACACCCCGACAGGAGGGTCCTGGTAGAAGCACCTGGGGCAAAAATGTCCGCCTCAGTCCAAGATAGTCCAAGTGTCCAGAATTCGCGGAAGAATGAATCATGACCCCGCCCTTACAAGTCCAGTCTGACCCAGTCTCCTGGTTTCTAGAGTCTATTCTAGCCATGTTTCGACCTGAGGTCACCAGGTCCGTGCCAAACAGGGGGAGGTGTTGCTGAAAAACTCCTTGCTGGCTGTGGGGATGACCAACGATTTCAGACGATTCTCTGGGTGCCCCCACGAATGAGTCGGGGGTGCACTTTTCTAGAAATCCAGTCGTCGTGCCTTCTCAGGTTAGGTGATTGGAGACTATTTGTGTAGGCTTGGAGGGCCCAAGTACCGCCTGAGAAGGTATGTGGATCCCTAGGGGTTAAAAAGAGAAACCAAACTCACGTAAGACTCGACCCAAAGATTTGCGGATGCAAAGTTTCAAAGGCAAAAGGTTCACGTTTTCCTCAGAGCACCATGGGACTTTGGGAGAAGTATTCATGCACAGCCCTATGATGATTACAATGAGTGTATATATAAGTGCTTATAAGTGTATGATCCTCAATCAGCTGAATGTGTCCATTTAAGACGTCGGATGCATGTGAAACGTATTTACATTTACAGGTTCCCTCCCCGAACATGTTTGTATGCAACTGGCCACCCATGACCTGCATTTCGTTCCGGTCATCCAGGGGATTTCCTCATCATCTCTCACCCTCGAGAAGCGGCTGGACTCAGGGCCTTCGGCTGAAAAACATGTGCGGGCGCTCGTTTGCGCGCGGTACCGCCCTAAAACCGACGTCTTCGTCCTGCAAACTCTGGACCAGGAACATGTCGACGCAAGGTCTTGTGCTGAAACAACCTCCCAAAGAAATGCAAGACGTCTTGTGTCACAAGGGAAAGGACCGCTGTGTTTCAGTTCCAAACTATGATACATTCATGGACGGAATGAAGCACCTCACAGGTCTCTGTCTTGGAGGCTGTTTTCAAACACAGCTGTAGTTGGGACGGAGTTTGAGAGACCATCCGATTTTCTTATACTCAAATTGGCAGGACCAACAGAGGTTGAAGAACCCTATAGACTATCCCATAGGTACCCCAGTAGGTCCTATAAGGTCACTTAACCTCTCTTGGTAGGCAGGACACCCCAAACAGCTGGTCCAAACATGTTGCCCTAACGGATTACAACCACCTCCGTGCCACGATGGTCGCTCACCCGCCAAGATGGTGCACCTCGGGGGGGTCTAACCACCTGAGATGGGCCACAAGGAGCCCTCGGAGTTGGATCACATTCTTGTTTTGGGCAGTGGGTCAAACCCCCCGTAACCTTGGTTGACCACCGAACATGAACCGATTCCTCGATGTTCGGGATGTCAAGCCACCAGGATTTGGGGCTCCAGGTTTTTTCTGGACCTTTCAGCTGAGCTCCGACCCCAACGAGGAAGACCTAGATGACTCGCTGCAGGTCTCTGGCGACTCGTGCGATGACTCGTGCTCCCCGGAGCATGCCACGACCCGGGACAAGAAGAATTGGACCAAGAGTCCTCGGGCGCCGATCGCGCCGAAAACGGCGCGATCGGAGGCGGTTCGATTGGCCGATCCGACGCGGCTCCTCGAAAGCGAGCGACAGTCGAATGGGCTGACTGAAGAGGAGAACACCATGCGGCAAACGGAAAGGTCGAAACAGACCAGGTACTGCGCGGCAGGCACTGCGCGGCAGGCACTACCAGCCATTCACTTTGGACCTTGAAGAACTGGTCCAAAACTCTACAATGAATATATTCACTCACCCAGCCATACCCAGCCAGCTTCTCCTCCCTAGCTTTTTCTGGGGTATATCGTCCCATGTGTTCCTTTTTTGAACTTCCGCCCCTGAACCACCCGGTCACAGGTCACACGCAGGACCTCAGGTCACCACCCCCGTCCACCGGCCGGGCCAGGCCACCGGTGGAGCTCCCGGTCACAGGACCGTCATCTGGGACTGGCATGTTTGACTAGGTCGGTGTGAATGTAGGTGTAGAAACAAGCCAGTCCCATGGAGTGTCTGGGTATGGTTATAAATATGATAATATATCCAGCACCTTCAAAGGGGTCACCAATGGAAGCCCCTACACTACCTAGGGATCTCCATTGGACACCCCTTTGAAGGTCCAGGATGGTGTGCATTTGCATTCTATTTTCAGGGGGTTGACCCTTGTACGGGCTAGGTCAATACACACCTCAACCTTCAAAGGGGTGCTCAATGTAGGTCCGCTATGTAGTGGGCTGGGTAGTCTGTCGATTGGAGACCCTGTCACGCAGGTTGAATTCTGTGGCAGCTGCAGGGAGTTGCAGGGCATCAGCCCAGAAAAGCTGGAAACAGAATCAAACAAACTGCAACAATACCTATAGAAAATTAGATTTTTTGGGGTATGCACCCAGAAAAAACTTCAACAGCCAAGAATCTACCGCATGGTAACTTCAAAGTGCCACGGATGCCGAGAGCTGCAAAGAAAAGAAGTACCAGGAAGGACAGGTGGTACAGAAATATCAATGAGCGATATAACGCCGCAATCTCCAGAAAAAGACAAAACAACATCGGAGCCACGGTCTTCGCCACTGCATTGAGCATGAAGCATCGTTCGTCAATGGAACTGGTCACGAGTAAAGTCAAGAAGCAAAGCCTGGTGACCATGGAAGATGTTTGCACAGCAGCAATGAACCAGTGTAGTGGTGTCCAGTGAGCTTGAGTCCAGCGCTCGTCTTGCGTGCAAACCAACAGAAGTCTGAGAAGAAAGTGCGAGCAATTCAACAGCAAGTGTGGCCCAAACACCAGCGCAGGGATTGCCACCTGAACAACCCCAGCATGCTCAAGCTCAACTCCTTGCAAATGTGCATCTCGAAGTGCATCCGACGTCAGTCCAGCCTTCAAAAGAACGTGAATTACTTTGTCAACTTCATCAACTTGGTCACCAATTTCATGTCGAATGTTTAACTCATCTTGGACTTGGGAACATGCAGCTTGTCGGATGGTTCCTCCAAACTGATTTTGCAGTTGCTCCGTCTCACTGATTTCGGTTTGCCAGTTCAACCGGTCAATTTCAGCCAGTAAGAAATATGCAAGCATGCTCACCCTTGTGTACCAAACGGTCGAAGCTTGTTCGTCAATGTTTTGCGGCAACAGTGGCAGGGCGTCATGCGGGTCTGACCATGCAATTTCCATGACTGCGGCTGCACCACTAGCTAAGCCTATATGGTTTGCAATCAAGCAAAGCCTGATCTGACCACAGTTTTGACTCACTAGGCTCGCTAAAAGCGCGAGCGTTCTCATCAGCAGCATCAACTGCTTGGCACCTTCCAAGTGGTGTACCTTTGACATACTGCCCACCATAAGACCTATCAAAAGTGCCGGCAGCATCATGAACCAAGCAAGCCACACTTGCCGCCAAATGGGAGGTGCGGCAGTCTGGATAATCTTGTTGCTTTGAAAGGCTAGATAGGCTTCATATCCACACCACAACCTAGTGTACACGCTCGTGTGCCGGTTGGGCACCACCAGCATGTATTTGGAACTCTTCAATGCAAGTGCAAAGGGAGACAACGATGGAGACTGAAGCAAAGCACCAATATCCAGATTCTGTGGATTTGCCAGCATGCAGCACCAAGCATGATTTGCACGCCAAGGCCAGGATGTCAGCACCTTCTCAGTGAACTCAAACACATCTTCCTGCCAGGCATGAGTAATGAACACGTCGCAGTCGAGCCCTTCAGGATTCATCATCAACGCCCAGCTCATTTTCCCAGCAGCAGCTGTGACTGGCTTGATGTAGTTCTCATTCACAGCATAAATGCTTGGCCCACGCGAAGCCTCGAAGCTCTCCTGAAAGGTTCCCTCTTGGATGGCTCTGCGGACCTCAGACTGGAAGAACTGGAGATCAGCGAAGGTGATGCACCACCTTGCTGGGTTCACAGTTTCATGCAGTTCAATCGCTGAATCGGTTGAAATGCGCTGCCTCCGGACTGGCAAGGTGTCCGCGCGGCGAAATGAGGTCAACATCGCTTAAGGATTTGGCATCCTAATGATACATCCAAGTTAGAAACTGCCACTACCACAGCTGTTTCGGAAGGTAAGTCTTCCCTACTGGCAGGGATGTGTTTGCCATTTGTTTTTTTGTAATTACTATCATTGGATCTGAGACTGGAGCTACTCAGCTACTCCTTTGAGTAGCTTAAGGCAATTTCTCCGAACGACTTCAATGGCGGTGCCTTCTTTTGTGACAGATGGAGCACCGCAACTCAGACCTCTTCCATCAACACCCCAACCAAGAGTCCAAAGCGAAGGGTATACTCAATCAGGTGGAGTGTACCAGGGTTGAAACTGTGTCAATGATGTAATTAACGCTGTTGATGGTTTAACGCCCCATGTAGATGTTTGTTCTAATTGTATTTTATGATCTAGGTAGGGGGTTAAGTCATCAACAGTGCAGCATTCATTCAATAGAGATTCTTGGTGTTTATGGAGTCTCTGGGACACGAGCAGGCGATGTCTCGGAACTCTCTGATGGTGTCAGCCACAACTGTAGAGTTTCCATCCACAACTGAACGATCCCCTAGGGATCCAGTGGTACCGAACCTCAGGCTAGGTGATGTGTTCGACACTCTTATTTGCCGGTGCCATGGTCGGGTCCAAGCATACCGTACCTAACCTGAGGTTCGGCACGACTGGATCTCTATAGTAGAGTTTCCATCCACACCAGAATCCGAACGGCCCTGTCCAGGGGTCGGACCTTCTCCACCGAAACGCAGGACTGCATGCCTCAAAAAGCCGATCTGCTTCGGGCGCGGAGTCTTAGGGCACCACAGATCTCGTGACCACGAGTTTACCGACGCGGCCGGGCTCACAGGGCCGTTGGCTCACAGGGCGCCCTTGGGCCGGACGACCAGTTCTTCTCCCATGTGAACTGTTGGGGGCTCGGTAGAAGCGACAGGGATGTCAACTATGGCCACCTCCCGGAGATCATGTTGGGTAAGTCTAACCTGGAAGACCACCCAAATTTTTTCTACCCTCTGACTCACTAAGATGGAAGTGGACTTCATCACCTGTTTGTAGAGTTTTTCCTGGTCTTCCCAGTAGCCATGGCCGTGTTGTTTCCATGTGACGTGTTCCTCGGAAAGTCGCTTCGATCGCTTCTTCACTCATGCGGAGCTTTCGGGCTTTCAGGCCTTGAGACTAGACTTGCCAGGCTGGTGGAGGCAAAGGGGGTCCAATGGGGGCAGCATAGGTTCCATACCCAGACGCAACCTGTCTGGGACTGCCATATTTGCCTACGGTGGTAAGCATCTCTTCCAGTCCCAGACAGGTCGTGTCTGGGAGACACATCTTAGTCGTACCCTGGCAGCTTTCATGATTTGTTCCCACGTAATACGTTGAGGCTGTGGTAGACATCTTTGAATTTCCAGTCCTACTGGCTGTTGTTGCATGATGGAGACTTCAAGAAACATCAAGAAACAGTTTCTGGAGACGCCACCCGGATTCGACGCGCCGATATTTTGTGTACTGGATGATATGCCACCATTTTGCCACCATTGGCCATATACTCCTAGATGTTAGTCATTCGTCCATATTCGTCCTATGGAGTAGCCGTGGAAGGCTGATGACAAGCTATGAACATCGTGATGCTATGACCGTGTTGGGGATGCGACAATTCATCACTGACAAGCTCGAAGTGTGACCTTCGGTCATGGAAATTATGCCTGGAGTCTCAAAGTACTTGACCTGATCATGCGAGGTGGGTATTGATCTTTGTCTCTCTCCCAGTCACCCGTTTTGTGCATGTCTCTCGCCTTTAAGTCGTTTTTCTCCTCCAGAATCTCCAAGCATGGAGCAAAAGACCTGCTCAGTCGTGGGGTGGCGGTTGAGGTGATGCATCCACCCTCTGAGGTCCGATAGATTGGAGACTGATGTAGGCGCCAGGCGTTCGGGGCCATACCTTGTGAATCCGTCATGTCCCCCAAAGGACCAGTTGGACGCCACGACCAGCCGCCCGTGGCAAGGCAATACTCGACCGCTTAGTCTAAGGCTGGCATCGAAAAACCCCTAACCCGATCAGTCGGAGTGCTTGAAGGTGCAAAATGCCAGGAATCCGGAGCAGAATGCTGTAGCGACTTTTGATCAGCCTTTGTGATGTCAATGTGTGTATGAATCCTTTCATCTCAAACAAAAACAGCTCAATTGACTTTCTTGTTGGCGGACGGGGAACCTCATGGGCTTTCATGTTCTGCCTTGTGGGGATTTGGTGCACCACTTGGACTGAAGAACCATTTCTTCACCTCAGTGGGGTACATGTAGCCACCAGAACCAGGGGTTTGGTTGAACGCCTTGAAGATGTAAACTTTTAGTACTACTCAAGAGAACAAGAATCTGGAAGAGGTCTGTCTTGATTCCTCTTCCCACCCTCCAACAACTCCTTCACATGCTTCACGGCGCTGACATCAGCCCTGATCGGTGATGTTTTCCGCGGCTGCAGGTTGGCAAACACTGCTGCCGCTGCCACACGTCTCCATACGCAACGGGCCTGCAAGGGGTCCCGGTTTCGTTACATGCCTTTCCAGCAAGTGGTAGCCCTTTCCAAACAGGTCACCCACTAAAGTCATGGGTCAATTGAGTTCCTCGATGTTCCCCTGAGCCAACCCACGAAGCCCAGAAAAACCCCCCCGCGCACAAACACACAGCCTCACTTGCAAGCGATTTTAATCAACACATCGGACCAGATCGCCCCGCCACCATCCAGGAATCACGTCCGTTTGGAGACCCACCACAGGAGACACCTAGTCTTTGGTCAGCCAAAAGATCTGGCCATGCCGTCGATTCCATGCGCCCGTCCATTCCGTGCGCCAACCGAATAAACTCCAACTCTCCACATGTTCAGCTGCTTTCAGCCGTCCCGTCATCCTCCCCATCCGGAGAGCCGTCCGTGCTCTCATCCGTATCGGAGAGCCAGTACTCCACACCCGAAGAAATCTTCGGTCGGGGGAGAACCCTTGCAACGAAGATTTGGGTTAAGAATCTTCCACATGGCAACTGCAAGGTGCCCTGAATGCCCAAGACAGCAAACAACAGCACCACCAGGAAGGACGCGTGGTAGAGACTGAGGAATGAACAGAATAGGGCTTCATTGCCCAAAAAGCTGAGCTGAACGAAACAGAACAAGATCGGCGCCACGGTTTTGGCCATGGCATTCAGCATGAAACATCGTTCATCAATGGGTCGCATGACAAGAAGCGTCAAGAAGCAAAGACGTGCGAAGATAGACAATGCTTGCAAAGAAGTGATAAACCAATGAACTTGAGACCAATGAACATTTGTCGTTCGATTGTCAGGTGCATCAAAGAGGGTGATATATCGAGCTAAGTGCCACCCACCAAGCATCAGCAAAGGTCCGAGAACTATTATTGGAATTGCGAGCTGAACCACTCCAGCATGCAGAAGCTCCACCCCCTGCAAATATGCTGCTCGAAGTGCGTCTGAGGTCATACCAGCTCTCAACAGAACATGAATTACTTTGTCTACTTCATCAACTTGGTCACCGATTTCATTTCGAATGTTGATCTCATCTTGGACTTCTGAGCACGATGCATGGCGGATTGACCCTTGAAAGTGATGTTGTAGTTCTTCTGCTTGGCGCTTCTCTGTTTGCCAGTTCACCCGGTCAACTTCTGCAAGCAAGAAGTACGCAAGTATGCTAGCCCTCGTATATGTATATGTTGCAGCATGTAGTGTGGACGTCTCAGGAAGAAGAGGCCAGAATTCGTGTGGACAGGTGGTGCCGATGAAGGCAGCTACACCACTGGATAGGCCTACATGGTTTGCGATCAAGCAAAGCCTGTGATGACCGCAGTTTTGACTGACCAAGCTCGCCAAGAGCGCCAGCATTTTCATGATCACTACCAACTGCAAAGCCCGATGATACATCCCAACTTTTGATATGATACCAACAATGATACCTGTGAGCAATGCAGGAAACATCCTCAGCCAGGCAAGCAACACTTGCGGCCAAATGGAGGGCACAGCAGTGCGAACAATCTTGTTGCTTTGAAATGCCAAGTAGGCTTCATATCCACACCACAGCCTCGTGTAAACACTTTTGTGTCTGTTCGGAACCACAAGCATGTACTTTGCATTCTGCAAGGCAAGTGCAAAGGGAGATGATGACGGGGACTGAAGTAAAGCACCAATATTTAAATTCTGCGGAATAGCAAGCATGCAGCACCATGCGTGATGTGCACGCCAAGGCCAGGATGTCAGAACCTTCTCAGTGAACTCAAAGACATCTTCCTGCC